TGTGCTGATCATACCCCACTTTGACTATGGGGGTGTGTCAGAATATCATGTTTCTCTAGTCTGCAGTGGGGTACTTTGTAGTGAGTACAACCCTGTTAGGGTTTGCTATATGTATCCCAATGTTTGCTAGTGAAACCATCCTCATTCCTTCCTTGATTCTCACACTCGACCGTGCTCTCCACTAGCTCGTCAGCACTTCAACCGTCGGTCTAACCTACCACAAGAACGGGACTACGATACCTAAACTAATCGGCTACGTTGACGCAGATCACGCCGGTGATCCCGACAACAGACGCTCACGCACCGGCTACATCTATCGTCTCGAACCTATCGGACCTATTTCCTGGCAATCAAGCAAGCAGGAATTAATCGCTCTCTCCTCAGCTGAAGCTGAATATATCGCACTTTGCTTAGCCACCAAGGAAGGACTGTACCTTCGCGAACTTCTGGAGGAGGCGAAGCTGGCTCAGTTACCCAGCTTCTCCTTGTTCTGCGACAACCAGTCAGCAATTCGCATAGCCAACAAAAACGGATTCGCGAACAGGACGAAGCATATCGCCCTGCGATATTTCTTCGTAAAGGACGAGATCGAGAAGGGGAGACTTGAGCTGTCTTATTGTCCCACATCCGAGATGGCAGCTGATTACTTGACCAAGAAGCTCGGGAAGTCGAAGTTCGAATACTGCATGCTGCTGACTGGACAAAGCCACGTCATCAACAGCGACACTCCAGAAGCGAAGGGGAGTGTTGGAAACAATTGATTTAAGCGCCTCTGTCGTGTCGAAACACCAAGTCAGAAGCGAAGCGAGACATATCGAAGCATTAGCGAGTCAACCCTCGGAGGTTGAACAACTGCTGGAGGTTACGCGAAAGTCAAAGGTCAGCGACCTTTGACCTGACAAATACAGCGCGACAGCAAGGACAAACAACTGACTCGCTACTGAGCAGTTGCCCGAGTCGACACTGTATCGAACCGCAACAGCAACAGTAAAACGGTTAATAACCGTATCTCTTCGTATTCCTTGTATCCTTATAAAAGCTTGTATCCCTTTGTTTTAATCAATCTACTTTGCCCTCACATACTAGCGCAAGGTGGTTCACCAAGTCATTATTCAAACGCTTCCGCTAATACATTGTCCTACTCATAATTTAGTCCTGCAAAGATCCTAAGGGCTTTTCTCAGCCCAACAGGCTGGATGGTGAAAGATGGTGAAGTCAAGGGGGTGATGGTTGAACATGCAGTACAGTGAATTTCTTCTAGGGGTGATAGCTGAATTTGCAGTGATTTTCTTCTAGGGGTGATGACTTCCATTGAATTTGGGAAACCCCATGTGGTGCAGTGAGCTTGTTCTAGGGGGAACCCATGTGGTGCAGTGAACTTGTTCTAGGGGTGACCCCATGTGGTGCAATGAATTTGTTCTAGTGGGAAGGGAACCCCATGTGGTGCAGTGAGATTGTTCTAGGGGGAACCCCATGTGCAGTGAGCTTATTCTAGGGGTGATCCCATGTGGTGCGGTGAACTTGTTCCAGGGGTGACCCCATGTGCAGTGAGCTTGTTCTAGGGAGGAGCCATATGTGCAGTGAACTTGTTCTAGGGGACTACGTGCAGTTCAATAATGCTTGTCACATCCGAGTTTGCAATCATATTACCCAGTAGAGCTTGTAGTAGAAGACGAATTTCTCAGCTACAGCTTCGTGTAACCTTGCTGAATCCAATTCCATTAATAACCACAGGAGCTACAGCTCTCAGCTACAGTGTAAATGCCATCTTCTTTTCATCCCGCACTTGTTCTTTCGCAGCCTTGTTCACGCCCGCCTTCTCCCACTGCTCCATGTATCCATGGAGCTCCAGGAGGTTGCTCTTAATCCCCCAGAAGGTTGCTCTCAATCCCCCAGGAGGTTGCTCTCTCTTTTCTTCCTGCGGCACAGCCTGTGAAATGCAAGCAGCTGAGATGCCTTTTCACGCCTCAGCTCCATGCATGATGTTGCATTGCATCCATGCTTCCATGAGGCTGCATCCATGCTTCCATGAGGCTGCCTCTGTCCTCTCAATCCCCACAGGCGGTAGCTCTCTCTTCTCTTCCTGATGGCTGATGCCTGATGCCTTGCAGGACGTTTCCTCCTCTGCCTCCTTGCTCAGCCTGCTATGTGACAGGAAAGAGGCGGGGGAGTGAGAGAACGAGCGGTGAGAGCATGCTGTAACGCATGCCAACGCGCATGCTGTAACTCATGCCAACATGCATCCTGCAAGTGATACCAACACGCTGTATTGAGTGAGGGAATCAGGCGGTTATTGGTATGCTTGCATGATGGATATGCCTAAAGAGGGGATTGAGAGGATGATGCCAGATGATTGAGGAAATGAGATGATGCCTGAATGAGGGAATGTGGTGATGCCTGAATGAGGGAATGTGGTGATGCCTGACTGAGGGTTGAGAGCCAGGGCTGGTGACTGACGACACGGAGCAGAGGCATCACGACACGAGCGAGTGCAGGCTCTGACACGCGTGGGACTCACCGTGACGGTGCGTACGCATCACCCACTTGACCCATCTTGAGCCATGGCGAGTGAGTGATCCTGCCTTCACCTCAAAGGCCAGGCAGGACAACCAGACAGGCAGAGAGGGAAATGCGTCAGGAGCAGCAATGAGCACAGGACAGCAGCACAATCAAAGGGTGCGGGGCACAGGGCACGAAAGGGGGTAGTATCTGCCATCACACGTGCTCTTTGTGCCACCGCACAGCACAGCACCGCACAGCACAGCACAGCACAGCACAGCACCGCACAGCACCGCACAGCACAGCACAGCACAGCACCGCACAGCACAGCACCGCACAGCACAGCACAGTACAGCACAGCACAGCACAGCACAGCACCGCACAGCACAGCACAGCACAGCACAGCACAGCACCGCACAGCACAGCACAGCACCGCACAGCACAGCACCGCACAGCACAGCACAGCACAGCACAGCACAGCACAGCACCGCACAGCACAGCACAGCACAGCACCGCACAGCACAGCACAGCACAGCACAGCACAGCACAGCACAGCACCGCACAGCACCGCACAGCACAGCACAGCACAGCACAGCACCGCACAGCACAGCACAGCACAGCACCGCACAGCACAGCACAGCACAACACAGCACAGCACCGCACAGCACAGCACAGCACAGCACAGCACAGCACAGCACCGCACAGCACAGCACAGCACAGCACAGCACAGCACAGCACAGCACACTGACCCACCTCAGCCTCCTCTTTGCTCTGCTCTTCAAAGTGCGCAACACCCAAGGTTAGGCTACCGTTGCATTTGCATATCCATCAAATCTGTTCGTAGCACAACACACCAGGTCTCACCTCAGTCTCCTCCCTGCTCATGCCCTCCTTGAATTGCGTGTCATAAACGGCAGCAAGGTGGTCTACCGAGGCCCTCCTTGATGCAAACTGGTCTACCGAGGCCTTGCATTCCTCACCACCATAAAACAAACACTCACCTTAGCCCATGCCCTCCTTAGAGTGCGAGTCACACAAGGCAAAGACGTAGGAGCCTAGAGGAGCCAGACCCTGAGGAGCCAGACCCTGAGGAGCCAGACCCTCTGGTGGCAAAGAAATGGCCCACAGCGGCCTTACCTCCATCCCATATGCTACGCCCACACTAGGGATGAGCAAGAGGCGAGCACGAACGTGTTCGCGTCCGCCCGGTTCGCCGAACGACTTCCCCAAAAAAGGGTGTTCGCCGTTCGCCTGTGAAGGCGAACACCTTGTTGACGCAGGCGAACACGAACATGTTCGTGGCAAACACGTTCGTGTTCGCCCCGGGACTACATTCACTAAAGTCACACGTTTGTGGATTGTGCATTGTTGACATTTGTTAGGTGGCTGTAAGGTCCAAATAGAGTAAAATTCAAATCGTTGCACATTCCCTCCCCCCACCCCCCAAGCCAGTCCCGCCCTGCTTCATCCATGCTAGTGTCAGCGTGTGACGGCGAAATGCTAGATCTGCACTTAAAACCGGGGTGCACATTCAGCTGAATGTGCATCAAAGGTTATCCCTTGACTGAGTGGGTTACGAGGTGTGCTTTCAACCCCTTCAAGTCGAAATTCGTTTCCCCCCTCCCCCGCAATTTCGTTTCCCCACGCCCCCGCAATTTCATTTCCCCCTCCCCGTCGAAATTCGTTTCCCCCCTCCCCCGCAATTTTGTTTCCCCCCTCCCCCGCAATTTCGTTTCCCCCCCCTCCCGCCAATCTGTTTCATCCCTCCCGCCATTCGGTTTCACCCACTCCCGCCATTTCACCCCCTCCCGCCATCTACGAAATGCCCGAAGCTCTAGCGGAATCATTTTTTTGTCGCCCCTCGTGAGCCAATCACTGTTTTTCTCCAAACCCCCTTCCCAACATCTCAAGCCGAACCGCGTTGAATGTGCACCCTGGTTTTAAGCAATGGCGAAATGCTCGATCTGCACTTAAGCAACGGCGAAATGCTCGATCTGCACTTCACTGACGGCGTAGTGCTAGACCTGCACTTAAAGCCCGCGTCCCAAATTGCGGGCCGCGAGGGTCAAGTTTTTAAAACTTGACGAAGTTGAGTGTCCAAGCTTTTGAAAGTCACGCACTTGCAATTTGGGACTTTCGAAGACAGATTCACTCACCAGGGGGAAAACCGAGGGTTGGCTGGGTCTCGCGAAAAAAACGAACCTAGACGAAATCGGAAACTCTCGCCAAAGCCCACACCAGAAAAACTCCCTCTGGTCAACTTTTAAAAGCATGAACAATTTGGGCCGCCGGCTTTAAGTAACGGCGAAATGCCAAATCTGAGCCCAAACACCAAATCTGAGCCCAAACACCAAATCTGAGCCCAAACACCAAACGCGTACGCGTCAAGTCGTTTTGCCGTTGCTGCGACACGGTAGGAGGCTTGAATCCACGGCAAGCCGTTATACGTAAGCGCTGTAACGATTGCGACACTTATAGCGAAGCGGATCGTAACGAGTACGATGGAGGCCACGAGGCGCAGCAGCCGAGGTCGCGAGTTAAAGCGCGTCGCGTTCGACGACGAGGAGCCGCTCAGCCCGCGCGTGATTCCCGCTAGATCCAGGCCGCGGCTGGCGCCCGCCGCGCGCGCGCACGCCGCCAGAAGCGCGCATGTCGCCGTGGTAAGCGGCGCCGGGACCGGCGGTGCCGCCACGCCGCCATTGTCCGGGATGGCGACGGCAAGAGCAGCGGCAGACGCGCCTTCAGCGGGGATGGCGGCGGGGAAAGCGGAGTCGGGAGCAGAATATCCTGCCAACAGCGCCGCTGGCGCCGCAGCAGGCGGCGGGATTGGCGGCGGAATAGGGGCCGTCGCCCTTAGGTCAGGAAGGCGCCAGAAAACACGAGGAAGGTTCGTGGCAGCTGCTGTTACAGGAGGTCTGCCCGAGGGAGGAATACCTATTAGCCGGCTGCCTGATAACGGGGTGGCAAATAACGCCGCGCACACTACTACGAGCTCTCATGCAGCGGCCTGGGAGGCGTGTGAGGGGCCTCTGCAGCCAGGAGACAGGAGCGGGGAGCACCTAATGATGGTTGAGGCGCCTCAAGCGCCGGCTTGTGAGGGACTGCTTCGCGTGGTCGGTGGCGGGACAGTGGGGAGGACGAGGCGCGGAGCAGCAGAGGCGTGGGAAGCACGGATGCAGGAGGGGGAGGGGGATGAGGAGGAGGTGATGAGGTGGAGGGGGAAGATGTGGGGGCGGGCGCTTTAGAAGATCTGGAAATGCGGAGTGAGTGAACGGGGGGGACTGACGCATGGCACGGCGTGTACTGCTTCTACTGCCTGTACTGGCTGCGTTGCTTCCATTCCACTGGCTCTTGCGTTTTGAGTCATCTTGACACTCGTTGCACCTGCATCTCTCGCTCTCCCTCGTCTTGCAGTGCAGCAACGGTGAAGGGCTGTGTGCGCCAACAAGCTGCCCTCTCAGTCCTTCTACTCTTGTACCTTGGCCAAACGGTTACACTCCCCCACCATCCCCTCTCTCCCGTGTGTCATATGCATGGCGTGGCATAATCCACGTGGCATCTGTGCGTTATATCATGGCATGTGTCCATCACATGGCAGTGGCAGCGCTGCAAGAGAGGCACATGAGGCTGCGCCAGAGGCTGCTGGGGTGAGTTATTCCCTTCCTTAACGCTTTCTCCCTCCCCCCCTTTCTCCTTCCTCAAAACAACCTCCTCACAAAACCCCCTCCCCCCACCCCTTCCCTTTCCCCTTTCTTGTTTCTCGTTTGTGTGTGAATGTGTTCCTCTCACCACACCCCGTGCCATGCCTGCATGACTTGCATGGCTCAGCTGCAGTCGGAATTTCACCAGCACCTCCACCGCACCACACCGCACTGACATGCATCACACCCCACTCCCCGTGCGTCACACCCTCACACCCCCCATGGCATGCCTGCAGGCATGCATTCATGGCTCGTGTGGCTCATCTGCAATCGGAATTCCACCAGCACTCCCAGCACACTGACAAGCAGCATATCACACGAGTGGCAGCAGAAGCAGCACCATCAGCAAGAGCAGCGGAACCATCATTCAACCCATCAGAGAAGCCAGCTGCATCAGCATCAGCGTCAGCATCAGCATCAGCATCAGCATCAGCATCAGCATCAGCATCAGCAGCACCATCACCAGCATCAGCATCAGCATCAGTGGCACCTGGTGTGTGGTTGAACCACCAGTGGACAGCCCTCCTCTCCCGCCTCCCCTCCTCGTCCCCTCCACCTCCCTCCGCCCACACTGCTACTTGTGCCGATGCTGACAAAGCTGCTGCACCTGGGGTAACCGACAAAGCTGCTGCACCTGGGTTAACTGCTGGGGGAGCAGCAGGGAATAGTGGTGCAGGTGGGAGTGCTGGCAGAGAGGCAGCTGAGAGAACTGCTGCGGGTGGGGTTGCTGCGGGTGGAGAAGCAGTGGAGGTTGCAGGTGGTACAGACAGTGGAGTAGCGGAGAATGGTGCTGCAGGTGGGGGTGCTGTGGGTGTGGTTGCTGCGGAGAATGGCGTTGGCGTTACTGCTGGAGGCGATATGGAAAACGCAGCTGGGGGAGCAGATAGAGGAGCAGCTGAGAATGCAAGAGGGGGTACTGCAGGAGGCCATACGAAGAATGCAGTTGCGGCAGCTGACTTATGTGCTGGGAACAGAGATGATCAAGAAATGTGTGATGGAACTTTTGAGGCGCCTCTAAAGGGAAATGACAGATGTGCTGACAAGGGAGATGATGGTAAGGGGATGGGTGAGGAGGGGGTTGGCGCACTGTGTGTTGAGGGGAGTGAGAGGGGTGTGATTGTGAGTGGGGGCGGGGAGAGTGGGGCAGGCTTGGTGGGAGAAGCAGCAGCAGCAGCAGTAGCAGGAGAGTACAGTGGTGGGGGGGATGACAAGGAACGGGGTCAGAGGTCTGGTGCACTGCATGTGGAGAAGGGGGGAAGGGACGAAAGGCGGATTGGGGGAGTAGGTGAAGTGGAGGTGGTGGGAGGAGGGGAGGGGAGTGGGGCGGGGGAGGAAGGGGAAGGAGTGAGAGCGGAAGTTGGTGGGGCGGAAGAGGGGGCGGTGAAAGCAGAAACAACAGCTTCAGTTGGTGCTGCTGTTGCTGTTGATATTGCTGGTGCTGTTGCCATAGCTGAATCTAATAATAATAATGGTCGAAGGTCTGGTGCTGTTGCTGTTGCCACTGCCGCTGGTGAAATGGAAGACACTGCTTTTGCTGATGTGGACGTTACTGTTGCTGATGTGGACGTTACTGTTGCTGATGTGGACGCTGCTGTTGCTAATGTGGACGCTGCTGGTGCTGACGTGGACACTGCTGTTGCTGATGCGACCAAAAGGAAAAGGGAGCTGGAGAACCAAGAGAGGGAGGTACGGCGGGAGGAGAGGAGAGGCGATGGAATGGCAAGGGAGGTGCGGCAGAGGAGAAGTGATGGGAGTCAGGGCGAGGGGGAAGCCAGACCTGTTTTCTGTTCAGGTGAAAGTCAGGTGAAAGTACACACTGCAGTGGCTGCTGTTCAGGTGAAAGTCGAAGAGGGGGACGGAGCACAGGAAGGAGGAGGAGGAGCAGGAGCAGGAGGAGTGAGTCAAGGAGGGGGAGAGGGAAAGGAGGAGGAGGGCAGGCAGAGGGCGGTGGGGTTCACGGGGCAAGGGCAGGCGGTGGTGCTGGTGGATGGCAGGCGGGTGCTGCTTCGAATTGACACCTCTTTCCAAGGTGAGTAGCCCATGGTCAGGATCAGGGCGTGGTGGGTGGGGTTCACAGGGAAAGGGCAGGCGAGTGCTGCTGCTGATGGAAGGCCAGCCGCGTGCTGCTGCGCGTTGACACCTCTTTCCAAGGTGAGTAGCCCATTTTCGCGACCAGTATACCCTCCTTTTGCAACAGCCAGTGCGTGATTTTCAGTCCAGCTGCACTGAGATGTGGTATGCTTGAATGCCTCCGCCAGGCCCAGTTGCTGATTGTTCAGGGTGGCAATTCACGCTCACGTGGGTACCATGCACTCTCAAGCATCGCATCTCTCAGAAGACCCATTGTTGAGGCTTCTTGTGCTGTGACAGGCCCCTCGTGCATCATGCTTCATGCCTAATGCCATATGAATTGTGCTCCATGTCCCTGTCCCTGTCCTTTATGCCCCATGCTTCATGCCTCGTGCCTCACTTTTCCCATACACATTGCTCTCCCTGGCCCTCCTGCTGCTCGCCTTTGTGTCAGGAGCACCCAAAGAGAGCTTCTTCTGCTCCCTGCAGCACACCTACGCTGACCACACCTCCCCACCACAGCACACCCCAGCAGACCACACCCTCCTACAGCACACTCACTCAGACAACACCGAGGGCAAACAGAAAGAGGGCAACGGCGAGGCGCGTAAGGGAGTTCTTGATGCGCCACGTGTCGGGCTTAGATTGGTGGAGTCCAGCGTGCCTTCTTTCCTCCCCATCAGCCAGTTAGAGAACGAGTTTCTTCCACGTCAGCCTGAGGTGAGTTCTGGCTTTAATCAACACCTTCCTCTCACTACAACCCTCAGCACTCCCGTTTTCCCCCCACCTCCCCCTTACCCCCTCCCGTTTTCTCCCCACCTCCCCCTTACCCCCTCCCTTTTCCCCCTCTTCAAGCTCTAAGCATCCCATATTGCGCGTCTCCTTTATGCCTTTCTCGCGCTGCAGCCATCTGCACTCCTGTCTCCCCCCACTCCCCCTTACCCTCTCCCTTCCCCTCCTCCTCAACCTCTTCACGCCCCATATTGCACGTCTCCTCGATACCTTCCTCTCACCACAGCCCTCTACACTCCTGTCTACCTCCCACTCCCCCTTACCCTCTCCCTTTCCCTCCTCCTCAACCTCTTCACGCCCCATATTGCACGTCTCCTCGATACCTTCCTCTCACCACAACCCTCTGCACTCCTGTCTACCTTCCACCTCCCACTTCCCACTGTCCCCCTGTCCCCCTTCTCTCCCTGGCAGCTCTTTGCATCGCATGTGGCGCATATACTAAATGCCTTCGTCTCACGAAGGGGGCAGGTGAGTCGGGGGGGAACGAGAGGCTCGGGGTGAGGTGGTGGAGGAGGAGGTGGGATGCGTAGGCGGGGAGGGTATGGCTGCAGAGAGATATCTGTAAGATTTCCTAGAAATATGGGCTAGGGAGCATACAAACACGCATATGGTCTCTCCTCCTTGCCCGTTGATCTTTGAGAAAAGCAACACACTGACCGGCCATCTCTCTCCGTCTCTTTCCTTGTTCCTCCCACCAGCTAAAGCAGGCCTGCGAGGCCCACAGCACGCATATTCTTCAGCTGTTTTGAGATGCTCTCACAAACAACCCTCGTCCCTTCCCCCCCTCCCTTCCTTCCCTCTCCTCTCTTTCTCGTCCCACCAGCTGGAGCAGACCTGCGAGGCCCACAGCACGCATATTCTTCAGCTGTTTCACAACCCCCAACACACACGCGCACACCTCTACCTGACATCTGCTTCCTGGTATGGCGACATGTGTGTGTGAAGAGGGGGGGAGAGGGAGAGGGGGGGTGTGGTAATGTTGTAATCCGACACAATGGGCCATCACGCTGAGACCAAATTGCACATGGTTCAGCTCAGCTTTACCCATGTGCCATCCGCATGTGCCATCCGCATGTGCCATCCGCACCTGCACTGCACATCCGCATGTGCCAGGCCATACGCACTGGAGGCCTTACTGCTCACCATATACTGTCTGATAGTTGCACATATCTCTCTCCCCAACTCTTTCCACTCCACCTTCTCAACCTGTTCGACTTCCCTTCTCTCCCGCCTGTTTCCTATCCCCACCTACCCCACCCCACCCCACCCCACTGCACCCCACCCCTGCAGCCATCTCTCTATCCGCCTCACCTACCCTCCTGCTGCCTCCCTCCCCTCCCACGCTGCTGTCATGGCGTGGCCCTGCACGCCCCTCGCCCTCTCTCTGCTTCTAACCAAACGAGCCACTGCATCTGCTGCTGTCAACGCGTCCGATGCTGCTGCCAGTGCTGCGGCTGCAGCAACAGGGTCTTTGCCGCAGCACTCCCAGAAGCGGAAAGCAGGGGGAGGAGGGCCTGGGGGAGGAAGCGGCTCGCATGCAGGGTCCCACAAGTCACACAAGTCAGGCAAGTCGGGCAGGGGGAGCAAGTCTCGGCGCAAGAAGGGGCAGCGGGCTCGATGGTACCGTGCTAAGTCCTATCGGGTGAACAGCCAGGGGACAGGGCAGGTTGTGCAGGGGGGAGCGGGGCAGGAGGGAGTAGTGCAGGGGGGCGAAGGGGAAGAAGGGGGAGAAGGACAGGGGGAAGAAGGACAGGGGGGAGCAGAGCAGGGGGGAGCACCGCAGGAGGGATGGGTTGATGGTGGGGGTGCTTCTGTTGGAGAGGAGGTGGATGAGAGGTTACAAGGCACAGAGGAGGGGGGGTTGAAGAGTGGGGAGGAAAGGGAGGGGCTGACAAGTGCGGAGGGGGAGCAGGAGGGGAGGGTTGAGTTGACTCGAGGGACAGCAGAGGCAGAACGTGTTTCTGAGGCGCCTAATAGATCGTCTCACGAGGCAGCAGTGGCGGAGGTTGTGGAAGGGGACGGAGTAAGCGGGAAGAGTTTTTTGACGGAGGAAGTTGGGGTGCGAGAGATGGATGTGGGGTTTTTTGAGGTGCCTCAAAGGTCGGAGAAAGTGGGGTTGCGAGAGATGGATGTGGGGGGGCTAGGAGGAGAGGGGGAAGAAAGAGTGGTGGAGCGGAACGGAAGGGAGGGTGAGGAGGGCAGAGGAGGGGGCCAGGGCGTGTTGGTGGTTGGGGAAGCAGCAGCAGATGAAACGATGATGGCAGCAGCGGCAGGGATTCTCACCGCTGAAAGGCAACTGGAGCCACTGCCCTTGTCCGCGGCACCAACATCAACACCATCAGCGACAGCCAAATCAGCAGCAGCAACAACAGCAGGAGCGGTGATTGCACCTGTAGGGCTCAAGGAGGAGGGAATGATGAAGGAAGAGGCAGGAGTTGCAGAGATAGTGAGCGAGGAGGGTGCTGGTTTGGCTGCTGAGACTGCTGTTGAGACTGGTGTTACTGTTGCCAGTGATAATGCTGCAGCTGGTGTGGGTAACCCACCAGGGACAGAGCAGCAAAAGGGGCAGCAGCGAAGCATGGCTTTTGAGGATACAGGGAGAGGAGGGCAGGAGGGAAGGACGGGAGAGCAGGATGCAGCTGCTGTAGAAAGCATGGTAGGTGTAGTTGGAGAAGCTTATATGGGGGACATGGTGTTGGTGGAGGGTGGTGAGGGTGCAAGGTCTGTCAAAGGGGAGGAAAGAGAGGAAAGGGTGGTAGAGGGTGTGAGTGGGTTGGAGGGTGGGCGAGGAGGGGTGGAAATGGAAGGAGGTCAGGGTATGGATGGTATCGAGGAAAAGGATGGTAGTTTGGCAGTGGGCATGGGTGTGGATGGTGCCAGGACGCACATGGCATGGGAAGGAGGGGGGACGGAGGAGAAGAGGGGGATAAAAAGGGAGGAAGGGACAGCTGAGGGAGAGAGGAGCAAGGGGGACGAGAGAACTGAGGGGTGTGGCAGTGGCAGGGTGGGGGAGGTGAAGGAGGCACTAGATTCTGCACCAGCGGCAGCAGAGCCAGCAGCAGCAGGGGCAACAGTGGGCACCGAAGGCAGGGAAGGAGCAGAAGGAGCAGAGGGGGGTTTGCATGCAAGCATGGAACGGGGCGACGGGCGGATGGAGGACGTGGCTCCATGTGTCACACATGGCACAGAAGGGACGGATGGCACAGGGGCAGCGCCAGCAGCAGCCGATGTCGCACATGGCACAGAGGGGATAGATGGTGCTGCTGTTGTGCATGCTCCATGTGGGGGCGACGATGCTAAGCGTGCAGTTTTGAGTTTTGAGACGTCTCAAAAGTCACCAGATGCAGCGCATGGCACGGAGGGGATAGATGGTGCTGCTGCTGTGCATGCTCCATGTGGGGGCGACGATGCTAGGCGTGCAGGCATGACCGGCCCAGCCGTGGGTGGTAACATGGAGGTCTGTGAGGCAGTAGAGGAGCAGCAAGGAAGTGAGGCGGAGAGACAGGGGGCCAGTAGTGAGGGGATGGACATTAAAGGTTTTATGCACGCAGAAGAGCGCACTGGGGAAGGCTGGAAGGAGGAGGTGCACCTGTTTCCTCCAGAAACAGCAGCAGGTGCAGTGGGGACGGCTGGGGGGACGACTGCAGCAAATGAAGTAGCAGCGCGCACTGGGGAAGGCTGGAAGAAGGAGGCTGGGGAAGGCTGGAAGAAGGAGGCTGGGGAAGGCTGGAAGAAGGAGGCTGGGGAAGGCTGGAAGAAGGAGGCTGGGGAAGGCTGGAAGAAGGAGGCTGGGGAAGGCTGGAAGAAGGAGGCTGGGGAAGGCTGGAAGAAGGAGGCTGGGGAAGGCTGGAAGAAGGAGGCTGGGGAAGCAGCATGCACAGGGGAAGGCCGGGGGGAGGAGGTGGACCTGTTTCCTGCACAGGCCGACTGGCTGCCTGCTGACGCCCTTGCCACTGCTCCATGGGAGGAGCTGCGCTCTCAGTATGCACTGCAGCCATACACACCCGTGCGTCTGCTGGCTGCTGAGGCAATTCTCCTCCAGAAGGCGCTTCCCCTGGGTAAGACCTCCCTGCCCCGCCCTTTGCTCTTTCAGTCCTCCCTCTGAACCATCCTGGAACACATTCGATACATTCTAAAAAGAACTCTTCCCTGCTCCATGAGCTTGCTGCCCCACACGTGTCTCCCCTTCCTCGCTCTCTCCTTCATGTCTCACAATCCCCTCCTTCCTCACCGACCTGCTGCCCCCACCCTTCCCCCTTCCAGCATTGCAGAGACCTTGTCTCTGGCTCAAACCTTCTTCTCCTCGTCTACCCTGCTTCGAGACGTCTCAAAACCTACCCCCTTCTTTCTCACCCTCCTACCCCACCCCACCCCCCTACCAGCAATCGCAGAGATGTTGTCTCGGGCTCAAGCCTTCTTCTCCTCTCGTACTGCACTTGAGACGTCTCAAAACTCAGCCCTTCCCCTTGTTTCTCACCCTCCCTACCCGAACCTGCCCCCCCTACCAGCAATCGCAGAGACCTTGTCTCGGGCTCAAGCCTTCTTCTCCTCGCCTGCTGCCCTTCCAGCTTCCTTGCTTCCTGCTGTCCACACCTCCCCATCTCCCCACCTTCCTACTCCTCCTCCTCCTCCTTCGTCCACTGCTCTTGGTGCTCCTCCTCCACTGTTCTCTCTTCCTCCTTCCGCCCCTCAGTCGTCCTTGCACCCAGTGCAAGAGAGCCTGTTGTTGACATGCAAGGCACCTTCACCCCTCCCTCATTCTGTTGCTGCTCCTCCTGCTGCTACTGTTCCTGCTGTCGCCTCTTCTCCTGCTCCTGCTCCTGCTGCTGCTGCTACTGCTACTCCCCTTGCTGCCACTTCTGCTGCCCCTGAACCTGTGCGTCAGCTGAGTATCCCTGCTACTGCTTCTCTTGCCGCTGCTGCTGCTCTTGCTGCTGCTGCTGCCCCTGCTGCTACCTGTAACGCATCTGCTGCTGCCGCTGCTGCACCCATCCCCACAGTGCCCCGCCGCCCTTCCCACACTCGCTCTCGCCTCGCCACTCGCCCCACCACCAGACTCAGCAACCTGCTTGCTGTTACTGCCACCACTCCTGTTCCCCTCGCTGGTGGTGCCATTACCCCTACCACCCTTGCTGCCACTGCCACCACTCCTACCGCCCTGGTTGCTGTTGCCACCTCGCGATCCCCACTTGCTGCTGTTGCTACTGCCACAATGCCAGCTCTTCTCTCTGCTCCTGCCACCGCAACACCTCTTAAATGTAGCTCAAGGGCAGCTGCAGCTGCAGAAGCTTCCAACACGTCATCCCTGCTTGCAGCTGCTGCCACAACCCCAGCAACAGCGTCAACCATGGCGCCAGCCACAGCACCAGCTCCTCTTGGAATGAATTCCGCCTTGAGGGAATCTCCAGTGCCAGCAGGTGCCAATGCCAACCCAGCATCTGTGCTTGCTGCTGCTGCCCCGCCACTAAGCAACATGCAGCTGCCTCACCCACGCTCGGCTGAAGCAGTGGGAGCAGGGGCAGCAGGAAGGGCAGGAGGAGAAGGGGGGTCAGGGGGGCCAGGGCTGGCAGGGGTGGCAGGGACCCGAGTGAGTGTGAGGCTGCAAAAGAAGATGTTGGCTTTGGCTGCTATAGATGCCCCTGCACCTGCACCTGCTGCTGCACCTGCTGCTGCCGCTGCTGCTGGTTTGCACCTCCCTGCTCGTGCCCCTCCTCCCGCCACTACTGCTGCTCCTCCTGCTACTCCTTCTGCTGCCACTGCTCCTCCTCCTGCCAGTATTGCTGCTCCTCCTGCTGCTTCCCCAGCTGCTACTGCTGCCCCTCTTGCTGCTTCTCCTGCTGCTATTGCTACTACTGCTGCTCCTCCTGCTGCTACCCCTGGTTTGGCTGCTACACCTGCTGTGAGGCTGGCTGTTGCTGCTGCCACTCCTGCTCTTGCTGCCCCCACTCCTGCTTTTGCTGCTGCCGCTCCTGCCGTTGCTTCTGGCACTTCCACTGTTGCTACTGCCGCTCCCGCTGCTGCTACTGCCGCTCCTGCTCTTGCTGCTACCACCCCTGGTCTTTCTGCTGCTGCTCCTGCTCTTGCTGCCACCACCCCTGCTCTTGCTGCTACCACCCCTGCTGTTGCTGTTACCACCCCTGCTCTTGCTGCTACCACTCCTGCTCTTACTGCTACCACTCCAGCCAATACCCATCAGCAGGGAGCAGCAGCAGCGCTCACCCCATTGCACTCTCCTCATCCGCAGCCCTCCTCATTCAACCCAGCTTCACTCAACGCTTCTGCACCAGTCAAACCTGCTCTTTCTGCCACCAGCCCAACCAATGCGTATCAGCAGCAAGCAGCAGCAGCAGCAGCACTCTTCCCATTGCAATCTCAGCAGCCCTCCAGGTTCAACCTAGCAATCCCCCCATCTCAGCCTCACACACCCACTCCTCCACTCAATGCTCCCGCACCACTCATCCCTGTACAAGTCAATCCCACCCCAGTCAACCCCACTCCAGTCAATGCTATTCCAGTCAAAGCTACCCCAGTCAAGCCCTGCCCTGCTGCTTCAGCATCAATGCACCTTCCAGTCCCGTCTCCCCTCCCACATCACCGACCCTCCCTCGCCTCCTTCCCTCGTCCCCTTCAGCCCTCCTCCCTCCTCGCATCTACGCCTCCTTTTTCCCTCTCATCCTCTTTCTCTCCCACCACAAATATATGTGCATCTCATCCCCCATCCGCCTCCTTACAACAGCCTCACTCATCTCAAACTCCTCACCTCCGCTCACTCCTTCTCCAAGCACCTGTACCCGCTTCCACCGCTCCCAACACCACTCACAGAACCACCACTGCTCCCACCCAACAGCAACAGTCGCAGCAGCCGCAGCCGAGCCTTACCCAGCCACCCTCACTCAACCCCTCAACAATTCCCGCCATCTCTGTCTCACCTGCCTCTGCTGCCATATCCCCCATCACCATTCCGAGTACCACTCGCAGCACCATCTCTAGCACCACCTCCACTCCCACCCAACAGCAGCAGCAGCAGGGGCAGCAGCAGCTGAGCCTGACCCAACCTCAAGGTCTCTCTGTCCCCGCCTCACCCCATGCCCGCCTCTCTGCTCTGTGGCCCCAAGTAAGTGCAGCGTCTGCCGCCTCTCATTCCATACCGGCAGCAGGGCAGGGTGCTTTTCAAAACTCTCACAGTCACCCTGCCATGCCTGCAGCCCAGACTTTCAGGTCAACTGCACCGCACCTGAAAGGCTCAGGTGCTGCCCTGCCCCTTAACTTGCCCCTTCACCTGCCCCTTCACCTGCCCTTTCCTCTGCAGTCAACCGTGCTGCCAGGGGTAGGGATGCCACTTGGCTCGTCTGCAGTCACACAGACACCGCCTCCCTCTACAGTCACACAGACACCGCCTCCCTCTACAGTCACACAGCCTCCGCCTCCCTCTGCAGTCACACATGGGCTGCCCATCCTTTCACCCACACAGACTAGGCCTCTCCCTACAGTCACAAAGACTGAGCCCGTCTCTTCACCCACACAAACTCCGCTGCTCCCTTCCCCCACACAGATTCAACCCCTCCCTTCAGTCACGCATTCCCAGCCGCTCCCTTCAGTCTCAGTTCCTCAGGTGTTGCCCGCACAATCAATCCCCCCACTAATCGCACCATCTCCCGCAGCGGACACATTCGGTGGCCTTGGTTTCTGTGACTCACCTCACGAAGCTTCACCTGAAGCAGAGGAAGCTAGGGGGTTCTCATTCACTGGAAATGCTGCTGGTGCCGCTCCTGCAGTGGCTGCTGTAGCTAGTACTCCTGCTGTGCCTGCTGTGCCTGCTGCCCCTGTTGTGCCTGCTGCCCCTGCTGACCCTTATGGGACTGCCTCTGCAGGGGGAGTTACTGTTGCCACATCCAATTCTGCTCAGCACATCCCAGCCAGTCACCCTCCCAGCCACCCTCCCAGCCACCTTACATAAGAAGAGTGGACCTTCGTCATCACAAGTGCTACATTTTATTACACAGTATTCATGTGATTTTCGTGTATCAACAGCAGGAGCTATGTCATGACTAGGTGTCCCCTTGATGGGCTTCGCATCGCACGCCATCACTTCTGACTAGCTGTGCATGTTATCCACCAACAGAAAATCGACTCTGCAACTGGGAGACTTGTGTTGTGAAGCCTGCTACGATGGATTTATCTCCCAGGTGGTTTTCCAACCAGAACTTATGGAGCACAACATACGGTAGCATAGTAGCCAGGGTGTAATCCGTTTTCCTGGAACTAACAAGAAACATGGTTCTGTATGCTTTGACTTTCAATCCCAAGATTCAACCACCAGCCGAACACCGGCGCTCTCTGCTGCACTGAATTGCAGCGGTTGTCACTCCCCAAGTCGTTTATGCATGAAGTCTCACCCACCCACCACATCAGACGCAATAATCTAGTTACCGTATAACTGCCGAGCCGATCTTATCACAAGTCATGCAGTAAAAGAAAGCACAGGCCATCCCTTTGTCATTTCATCATCTCATCATCTCATCACACACGTGTGGTCAAGTCAGCTTCAGGAGCAATTCAGCTACAATGAGTAGAGCAAGCAAGCTCACTTAAGTGTTCCCCTCTCAGTCCCAGTCATAGGGAATGCGCATGCTTGTAACACTGGTAGTCCTTCCTTCCTCCTTTGTCATCTCATCTCAGCCCACGCATAGTTAAGTCAGCTTCAATAAGTAGCACATTGGGTTGAGCAGGCATCACCCCCAGCATCAGTCATCAGGAATGAGCATGCCCAGGAAGCACTGGTCCAATAGGAACTCGGCATTCACCCATGCATGGTACTTGTCTGGTGGGGGGTTTGTGCGAGGGAGGGCAGTGAAGGAGAAACGAGAGACACTTGGTTCATTGCCCCTCCCTCACCATGAGTCATCGGGAATGAGCATGCCCAGGAAGCACTGGTCCAATAGGAACTCCGCGTTCACCCATGCATGGTACTTGTCTGGTTGTTGGGGTCGATAGGGGGGCGGGGGAAGTAAGGTTGGTTGGAAGAGAGCAGGCAATACCCCCCTCCGAGCATCAGTCGTCGGGAATGAGCATGCCCAGGAAGCACTGGTCCAATAGGAACTCCGCGTTCACCCATGCATGGTACTTGTCTGGTTGGTGAGGGCGGATGGGGTGGGGAGGGGGAGGGGCGGAAGGGGAGGGAAGAGGAAAGAGTGGGGTTGGTTAGAAGAGAGTGAGAGGCACTTCGTGGGAACACTGGTCCAATCGAAACTCTGAGATCACCCATGCTGCCATGCAGCATGGCAACATGGGTGGTACTCTTCTGGTTGCTGAGGGTGAGGAGGGGGGAAGAGTGGAAATCGAGGCAAGTGGCAACTGATCAAGATTTTGTTGCCAGATTTGGTTCCAAAAACCCTCTGATTTTGTTGATCAGGAAAGGCACCACCCTCTGATCAGGTTTGTGGAACGAAAGTCTAGGAAGTTTCGCAGAAAGCGACGGAGGAGAAGGGTACAAGTAGAGAAATAGAAGTGTGGTGTGAGGCCTGGTAAGAGAGAAGACGACATGTCGGATGCCAGAACCTGAGTACAGAAAGAAGGATGGAAGCAGATAGAGAGGGAGCGTGAGAGAGAGGGGGAACGACGAGTGGGTGGTGGAAAAGTAAGAGAGCATACTGAAGAGTGCTGTGCAGTCCTTGCCAGCTGCCTTCATTAGCATCGCCTTGCCTGCAGTCACAACATGAGGGGAGAGGGCGGATCGAGGGAAGAGGCAGGGGGGAGAGGAGATGGGGGGATGGGAGGGTGGAATGGGGGAGTTACTCGTCAAACGGCATGCCTGGTTCGAACTTAATCATGCTCACAAAAGCATCGACTCAGCTCCTGGGTGAAAGCCGAAGTAGGGTGTGATGTTGTACACTCAGTCTTGCTCGCACTACAGCAGCAGCAAGACAGCGAAGCAAATGTTTCATTCTTCTTGCATAACCAGCATCGAATTACCTCCAGGGTGGAAGTCGAGGTAGGGTGTGATGTTGTAGACTCTGCCTCGCACCACGGTCCAGGCATCGTCCTCCTTCTTGTGCCGCTTCACCTCCGACATGCGTATAGCCCCCTGGTGCTGCATGCGGTAGCCTGGGAGATGGGGGAGAGCAAGAGGGCGAATAGTAGAAACAGCAAACAGTGCTGAGGTACGCACGTTGTCCTCCCTCTTGTGCCGCCTCACCTCTGACATCCGTATGGCGCCTTGATGCTGCATGCGGTACCCTGGGGAACAGGAGAGAGCAACGGGAAAACGAAAGAGCAAGAGGCGAAAGGGATCACTTGCATCCACCCTCCACACTCTCGCACCCACCCTGAATAGCTTGCACTCATCCCCACCCACCATCACACACGTACGAGCTATCTCATTTGCGGCAGCAGCGCTGGCCTTGCGCCAGCAGCAGGAATGAACTCCTTTCGCGACTGCCTTTTTGCACCCGCTTGCACCCACCGTACCCATACCAACCCACCATCACTCACTCGTACCCACCGTCACACACGTACGAGCTATATCATTGGCAGCAGCAGCGCTCGCCTTGCGCCAGCTCATTTGACTCAAACCCTGCTCTGGAATAAACTTCTTCCGCGGCTGTCTTTTTGCGCCAGCTGCTGCCGCCGCCGCTGCTGTTGTTGTTGCTCCTGCTGTAGCACCGTTGACAGCAGCACCTGATGCTCCCGCCCCAGTAATTGAGATGCCTGCATCTGTCTCTCTGCTTCTTTCCAAAGGCACGGACGCAGCAGCTACCATGGGAGGAGAGGGAAGAGAAGACGTGGCGGCGCCTGATTGGCTCTTTCCAGGCGGTCGAAAAGGGTGCGAAGTTGTGGTGGGTGCAGTGGCGTTGGATGCGGTGCCATTGAGTTTCGTGGCTGGAGGTTGTTTGGGTGTGGAGAAGGCGGCGAATGGGTGGAGTGAGGCGGCAGTAGGTTCAGTAACCTTGGTGCTGGTTGCAGTAGTGGTGGTGTTGGCGGTGGCAGTGGTGCTGGCTCCTCCCTAAAAAGGCAATCAAGAAGCAGAACGACGAAAAAACCGTGAATTTTAAGAGAAAGAAACGCTCCAAATTCCCTTCTGCTCTTGAGATCGCAAGGCCAATACGTGAAGATCAAGATAAGTCACCATAGCATCCGCTGGGGACAGTCCACGGGGGCTTACGAAGAAGGAGAAGCCACCCTCGTCGTGGCCGTCAGCATTCACCCGATGAGGCACGTCCGGCCCGAGCATGGTGACCGTTACCGCCAATGCCTGAAAGACGGCGACGCTCGAATTAGCGCAAGGAGCGGAAAGACCCCGATTAAACGTTTAAGACGTGCCGTACGGTTAAACAAGGACGAGTGCTCGCGGAGAGCTACCAGCAGCCACGTTGCGTAAGCTTTCGGAATAGAATTACGCAAGCTACCTTCGGTAGCAAGAAACTGCAAGCAAACGATCGCTGTACCTACTGCTTGCTCTTTTTCCTTGCCCTCCGTGAGGGCAGTGGCAATGAGGGTGGAAAGTGGCTGTGCGGGAATGGTTGGAACACAGGGTTCGCGAATGCAGAACCACCCACCCCTGCAATCACTCGCTAAACATGATGCGAGCGTTGTGAAACCGAATAAACGGTCATTATTGGGAGATCGCTGTGTGCGGAAGGTACTGTAACGAACTTGGTGTTACGACCGATGTCCAGCCGTTTCTGCTCGTGAGCTTCCCTGCCAGTGGCGGTTGGGCTGCTGGCATCGGTTTTGCCGAACGAGCAATTGCACTCTCATTTCTTCGCAGTCGTCTTCATCCAATAAAACTCGTCGTTGAGAACTCCACCGTCATTTTTATCCAATTAAAATCAAGTGCTCGACTTACGACGACTCTTTTCGTCGCGGAAATGCGCGTCAGCTAGTTTGAAGCTGACGTGGAAGACTAGCTCACATCTGGCTCACGATGCACTATTCGCAAAAAGCTGTGGTACAGCCTGCTAGATTCCACCTTCAGCGCACTGCATCGCACTATGACTCTCTGAACCACACATAAACGTGTTTGACCCCTCGCCATTCTTGATTGTCTTTCAGTGGGTCATTTAGTAACAAAGATGCACACACAACCTACACGTAGCAACCTGCCTATGGCAGTAGGAGCTCCTGGTCTGGTCAAAATGCATCGTGCATTTTATCGGAAATAGTAGGACATATGAGCGACCTTGTCAGAACCGTCAATCAACAGCCTACGACGGATTTTTGAATACCACAACGATCCGCCACCTGCCGGCGTATTATCCGTACGCGAGTCTTCGCGTTGGGCCCTGACCATCTTGCACATCTATTTGATTACATCTGTTTGAAGGTGTATTCTGAGAAATCTCAAAATATTGCAACTGCGGACATTCGAGCCCGGCATGTAGACCTTCTTGCGGAGATCCGTGACGTCGTTGTAAGCAACCGGCTCTGTTGCGCATAGCGACACTTCGCGTAACGTTCCAGACGAGTCGGATTAGCAGAATCTCAGCTGGCAGAAGTCCAGACTGAATGCTGATGCTGATGCTTCCGAATGCTGATACCCTTGAATGCTCATAACGTCGGATGCTCATAACCCCGGGTTTCCGAAAGCCACTCTCTAACGGTATTTCCAATGGCGGCTTGGTCCCTCCGCAAGTCACGCGGATTAGCGGAATCTCATCTTCTAGAAGGCCAGACGCTAGAGGGGGGGCTGTGGAAGCTAAGCGATCAGCTGCGCCAGTGGCGGCGCCGCTGGTTCATCCTGCATCGAGGCGCTCCGCGGCTGCTGTATAAGATCAGGGAGGGGGATTCGCGACTACGTGGCACAATTGCATTGGTGGACGCGAGTGTGGGGGTGCTGAGGTGTGGATTATTGCTGTATCCTCACCCCTTTTTGCGGTCCCCTTGCCTCACCTGTAGCTCTCGGGCTGTTGCAATAAGTCACCGTGATTTTCCTAAGATCGTTCTGCAAACTGTTTGCTTGTCGTGCAGTTCATCTCTCCCACTTCCCCTTCATTCGCCTCCCTGTCTCGTCCTTCTCCCCTTTCTCTTCCTTGTTCCCTGTCTGGAACGTGCAGCTCCCCATCCAACCACCCCACCTGGTCCTGCTTCTGTAAGTCTCCCTCCCAGCCAGCCTTACTCCCTTTTCCGTCATCATTCTCCTCCTCCTGCGTAGCGCCCTTCCCCTCTCTCTTTAACTCTGACTCAGTAGCCATCTCCCTCTCTTCCGCATGCTTGCCCTCCCTCCCCTCTACTTCTTTCAAGTGTGTTGCATGCTTCAACTGAATCCGCCTTCCTTTGCTCCCCCACAGACATCCGCGGGCCAATGGGATCGCACCACCTGGCGGCGGAGAGCAAGCAGGCAGCTGAGAGGTGGATGGAGCTGCTCTCCGTGACTGCTGCTGCCGCGTCCCTGCAGGTAAGAATATGGGGGTCTGACTTGACGTGAGGGGTTTAAAGTGTCTCAAAAGGTGGATGGAGCTGCTGTCTGTGTCTGCTGCTGCCGCCTCCCTGCAGGTAAGGAGGCAAGGGAGTAGCAATGGGTATCCTGGTGCTGACAGGGGGTGAATGTGACTCGGGGGTTTGGAAACATCTCAAATGTTGGGTGGAGCTTCTGTCACTGCTGCAGCCGCGTCCCTGCAGGCAATTATGCAAGGGAGTGTGGATTGCGGGCGGTAAGAGGGTGGGATTGAGTTGATTTGGGGGGTTTGAGACGTCTCAAATGGTGGATGGATCATGGAGCTGCTGCCTGTGACAGCCCTGCAGGCAAGAGAGCGTGGAGGGGGGGCGGGTGGAGAGCGGATGGAGGGTCGTATGTTAGTGCCTATACGGGGTAACCTGACTCAGGAGTTGCTGCTGCCGCGTGCGTGCAGGCAAGGACAGCCGTCTCTGCTCCCCTTCCTCTCCAGCTGTGATGTGATGTGCCATGCCAGCCCTGCCTCACCAGGTGTTGTTAACTGCCTGTGTGTTCGCACAGGCTTGGTGGAACCTCGGTTGGCATGGGGGACTGATACAGGCATTCCAGCTGCCGCGCAGGCTAACATGCTGTCTACGAATGTCACTGCTCCCCTCTGCTCCCCTCTGCTCCCCTCTTCTCCCTGTCAGGCGGAGTGCCTCTGTGTGCGCTCTGGCTTGCTGGAACCTCTGAGCTCGAATGCCAAGCTCTTTTCCACACCTCACTGCCACCACTCCCCTCTGTTCCCCTCTGCTCCTCTCTGCTCCCCGCCAGGTGGAGTGCCTCTGTGTGCGCTCTGGCTTGGTGGAATCCGGGTGCTCTAATCCTGACCTGCGACTCTTCTCCTCCTCCTCCCATGCTTCCTCCTCGCCCCGTGCCTCCTCACCCGCCTCCTCATCTCTCCAACAGTCACGCATGATTCAACCAGGCCACGCCGGCCCAACGTACTCTCCACCCCTCCCTCCATCCGTTCCAACATCCCATCCGCCATCCTCCAACGGCACCCGCTCTACCCCATCGCCCTCGCAACACCAGCTTCCAGCGTCAACCTCATTCGCCCGCCCTGCACAACATCCCCTCGCCACCACCATCACCGCCAACCCCCCCACCCCCACCGCCATCCCTCCTGCTTCGTCCGCAAGCGTGGCTGAATCCGGACCACACCAGCAGCACTCGCAGAATCGGCAACAGCAGAAGAAGGGGCAGCATGGGCAGCAGCAGCAGCAGCGGCAGCAGCAGGGGCGGCAGGAGCAGGGTCAGGGGCAGAGGCAGCGGTCACAGAAGCCACACTCTCCGCATGTGGAGCAATGGGTCATGGAAGGGGGCCAGCTAGCAGAGGGGGCACAACTAGCAGGTGGCGCTGCTGCTACTGCTGCTGCTGCTGCTGGTTCCATTGTGATGACACCTGATACCTCACCTGCTACTTCTGCTGTTGGTAAACCTGGCGGTGCTGTGATCGCTGCTGCTGGCTCTGCCCGTGCTCTCAGTCTCAGAGGGACGGCTGAGCTGGCGCGTTGTGATTCGCTCTCTGACGATGACGGTGCATTCGACTCGCCGCGTTCTGATTCCTTCCTATCCCTCTGTTCGGACAACGACTGGAGCACACCTGGTTCGGCGTTTGCCACGCCCATGCTAGCAGCATCCACCCCTATATTCTCAAGCTCCACTCCCGTTATAGCAGGCTCCACTCCCACGTATAGAGGCAGACCCCCCTCTGTTGCTGCCATTGCAGCTCGACTCGCCCGGCTGTCCCCCTCTACACATGCTGACGCAGCGGCAGGTGCTGCTGATGTAACCACGGTTGTAGATGGATCAGCTGTGGTTACGGTAGCTGCAGCTGTCGCTACAAATGGGGGGCACATAGCAGGTGGATCGGATATAGGAGGGCCTGCTACCTGTAGCACCGGCACCGGTGTCAAAAGCAGCAACAGTTGTAGCAGCAGCAGAATCGAGGTGGATGCGAGGAATGGTGTGGCGTGGCAAGTAGAGGCTGCATGCGAACCACCTGAACAATCACCTGATTTGGCACCTGAAAGGGCAGTGTGCGTTACAGCATGTGAGCACCACCCTTTAGAAATCGGATCTAGCATACAGGCATCCTCTTTGTCAGGAGCAGCAGCAGAAGCAGCAACAGCATCAGCAGCACCATCACCACCATCACCGGCAGCAGCAAAAACAGCAGCAGCAGCAGCAGCAGCAGCAGCAGCAGCAGCAGCAGCAGCAGCAGCAGCAGGAGGAGAAGTTGCCACGGATCGTTGTACAGAAGGATCTGAGCCGTTCCCTTCTGATGCTTCAGACTTTGAGCCGTCGCTGCTGGCAGTGCTGGCAGAATCCCGTGGGTTGGGGCATGCCTCGGCGTTCGCTGATGTGGTGGGATTCTTTGAGGACGGGGGATGTGACGAGGAGGAGGGGGGAGAGGATGGTGAGGGGGTTGGAAGGACAGGAGAACGGGGTTATGACGGCAGGGGGGGCGCTGTTTGGAGTGACTCGGGAAGGATTGGGCAACGGGAGGGTGAGGGGGGTGTGGAGAGAGAGGGAGTATGGACAGGGGGAGAGGGAAGGAATGAAGCCTGTGAGGCAGCAGCAGAGGTTGCTGGTTCAGAGGCCAATGGGAGTAGAGTTAAGCTGCCCTCTGTCATGCGCCAGCAGAATCAGGGCAGTGGTCCTTCGCAGGGCAGATTGCTTGCGGATGCATTGCCAGCAGCAGCAGCAGCAGCTGAAAGTCTGCTGGTAGGAGATGCTGCAACTGAACCGGCAGCAGCAAAATCAGGCTTGACGACCGCTTGTCTATCTCCTGTACTACCCTTGATGACCGCCCTTACTACAGCCAGTGCCACCACAATCCGCACAGTTCCCACTGCCACTGCTGTGCATTCCGGAAGCCAATCTGCAACAGGTGCTGCGTCTCCCACAGTAGAGTACCCTGTCGGGTGTTCATCCCTTCCGTCCTCTCCTCCCCATACAGTCACACCACCCATGCTCACATGGAGCGAGCTCTCTCCGTCCCCAGGCATGTCAGGAGGAGCATTTTCTGCAGAGCCCTCCACAGGATTGGGGTTTCTCGGAGAGCGGTCTGGTGAGGCAGCTGTGGATGGCAGAGAGATTGGGGGAGAAGCGGAGGGAAGGGGAGAAGGGAGAGGAGGAGAAGGGGGGAAGGACGGAAGTGAGAGATGCCATTTCAAGCAAGAGCTTGAGAGGAGGTGCAGGGAGAAAGATAAGCAGGCTGATGTTGACCAGCTAGGGATGGATGGATGCAGAACAGGGGAAGCATGGAGGCACGGAGAGGCGGGGACAGGATGGGGTGCAGGGAAACAGGAAGGCAGGAATGGGAGTCACAGAGGGGAATTGACAATGGAAGAGGCAGGTGCGAGGGGTGACGGTGGGAGAAATGGAACGAGGGGGCAGAGGTCGGGGGCACAGGAGGACATATGGAGTGGTTTCCGGTGGGGTTGGGCCGCGAGCAGTTCAGCTTCCAGAGGGGAATCTTCATCACATGAGCTGCGGGCTCTGCTGCGGCTTCAGCTGCGTTTCGAGCGAGCCATGACCCAACTGTATGGTCTTGTTCCCTCATGTTCACTCGTACCGTTTCCCATTCATTTCTGCTGCTTGCTGGATGAATTTCCCGTCATTTTGCTCGTTAATGGTCAGTGTGCAGTGCATTCAGTCAGTCTGCTATCCGCCCATCTGACTTGCCTTGCCCCACATGATTCCATCAGAGGTTTGAGTCGACTCAAAACTCCGTTCTTCTGTCATGCGTGGCCCCACATGGTTGCAGAATGAATTACCAGTCCGAGTTGCAGGCCAAAGGCAAGAGAATAATCTCACTGGAAGCACAGGTGTCTGCTCTTGAAAATCAAGTGGCATTCTTGGAACATGACAATCATAGGCTAAAGAAGCTTGTAACCATCATGGAGTAGTGTGTACATACGGTAAGTTGGAATATATAATGTGCCTTGCTTTGCTCTACATACGCGTGCTTTCAAAGCAGACAATCCGTATACCCCCTTTCCATAAAATGCTCACCCCTAACTCAAACACCCTGGAAAGAGTCTGCAGATACCCTCCAGCTCCTTCATCTTATTTTCGAATTTGTGCACGTCAGTCAACTGGATCTTGTCGAGCCAGTCAATGGTCAACTGCACTACAACCTCAAGCTTCTTCCTATCACCGGCTTTAAGCTTGCTGGCGATCTTGTCATCCTGTATTCTGTTGCGCATGTTGTAGGCGTAGCTCTCAACCAAGTTTTTTGCCTCCACCTTCCTCTTGTGATGCTCGTCATCCTCCCTGTACCTCTTCGCGTCCTGAACCATCTTCTCTATCTCATCCTTGCTGAGACGGCCATTATCTCTCACAATGGAAAAATTGTTTTTCTGGCCAGTAGTTTCGTCCTCGGTACTAACGTTGAGAATACCATCGGCGTCAATGTCAAACCAGACGGTGACCTGGGGAACGTGACCGCGAGGAGCAGGGGGAATGCCAGACAGCTCAAACTTGCCACGCAGGTGGTTATCCCGGGTCTTGGCACTCTCACCCTCGAAGACCTGGATCAGCACAGCAGGCTGGTTGTCGGAGGAGGTAGAGATTACATGCTTCCTCTTCACGGGAATCGTGCTGTTTCTGGGGATGACAACAGTCGTGACACCGTCGTCAGTCTCCAGACCCAGGGACAGCGGAACAACCTCCAACAGCAGCAGGTCCTCAAACTCGCCGCTGAGAATAGCCGCTTGCACGGCAGCGCCGTACGCGACGGCCTCGTCGGGATTGATGCTCTTGCAGAGCTCCTTCCCGTTGAAGTATTTCTGCAGGAGCTGCTGCACCTTGGGGATGCGCGTGGAGCCGCCGACGAGCACGACATGGTGGATCTCACTCTTGTCTACCGGCAGGTAGAACGAACTTGTGTCCTTGAGGCACTTCTCCACCGGCTCCATGCACTGCAGACACAACGGAACAAAATCAGCATCGCGTTCAAATATAATAGAAACCGGGAAAGTGAAAAATGAAGAAGAGAGCCTGAACTGCAAATTGGACTTCCGAGGCTACAGGTAAGAGGTTATGATGATGGAAGGGAAGAAGCTGAGCGTGAAACCAACCTTGTGGAACAAGTCCATATTGAGCTCCTCGAATTTGGTACGAGTGATGGTGGTGTAGAAGTCAATTCCATCATACAAACAGTCGATCTCAATCGTCGTCTGGGCGGTGCACGAGAGGATTCGCTTGGCGCGCTCGCAAGCAGCTCGGAGGCGACGGAGAGCCCTGGGGTTGCTGCTCATGTCCTTCCTGTGCTTCCTCTTGAACTTCTGAACCAACCAGTTCACCAGACGGTTGTCTAAATCTTCACCGCCCAAGTGAGAGTCTCCAGCAGTCGCCCTCACCTCGAAAATACCCTCCTCGATCGTAAGAAGCGAAACATCCAATGTACCTCCGCCAAGATCGAAGATAAGAACGTTCTTAACGTCGGTGCTGGTCGCCACCTTGTCAAGGCCATACGCGACAGCAGCGGCGGTGGGCTCGTTAATGATACGGAAGACATTCAGGCCCGCGATTGCGCCAGCGTCCTTCGTAGCTTGTCGTTGCGAGTAGTTGAAGGACGCAGGAACGCTGATGACGGCGTTCTTAACGGTGCTTCCAAGGTAAGCCTCGGCGATCTCCTTCATCCTCATGAGAACCATGGAGGAAATTTCTTCCGCAGCGAAGGTCTTGGTCTCGCCTTTGTACTGGACCTTAATCACGGGCCTGTCGCCAGGGCCTTCGATGACCTTAAACGGCCACAGCTTTTTGTCGCTTTGGACGGAAGCATCGGAAAAGCGACGGCCAATCAAACGCTTGACATCTGCGTAGTAGTGAAAAGAATCATGACACATTTAAATTGAACGTTCGCTCCCTGCAATAGCATCACATTAGGTTAAAATAATATTTCACTAGAGCATCAGTTTGCGTCAACTCACCAAAGACGGTGTTGACTGGGTTCATTTCAACTTGATTCTTCGCAGCATCGCCAATGAGACGCTCCGAGTCGGTGAAGGCGATACACGAAGGAGTGGTGCGGTTACCCTGTTCGTCGGGGATGATCTCCACGCGACCGTGTCGCCACACAGCGACACAGCTGTAGGTAGTACCGAAATCGATACCAATAGCCGGACCGTCTCCCCAAGTAGCCATTTCGCTGGGAGTGCAAGCAGAGGCGAGGAGGTACGGAGGTGCGTCTACGAGTATAGCCTCGGTAGGAAAGAAGCTGGGGAATAGACACAATTTCTTAGCTGAACTGAGATCTGTAGAAGCAGCTGGAATCTACGCTCTTTGTAAGCTGGAGATGTCTGCTGGTGTTCGGGGGGAAGCGAAATTAGCCTGTCAACAGTCTTCGCCATTTTGCTAGTCTGAAGATGCCTCTCCTGACCGCCGATTACGACTAGATTCATCCCAGCAGATCGTGGCCCCGCAGCTGGCCGTCGGAAACTTGACTCTGTGAGTCGCGAAACGTTCGGCGCACGGGGGGAGAAGGGGGTTTCTAAGGAGACGACTCTAGTAAGCATCCAGGCCGCGTAGTTATGTTACTGGTCGGCCTGATTACGGACTAACAGACAGCAGAATTTCTGGGAAGTTATGTAGTCGTGGGCGCAGGTTGAGCGGATTTGCCAGAGGAAAAAGGCAGGTCGAGCTCGTCTGGTCGAGCTCGCCTAGACCCACGCGCAAGCTTGCGCCGAGCAAGACAAACCCCACCACCCCACGGGCTAGGCTCGGCCTGCCCGTGAACCAGTTCTCTGCCCGAACAGATTCGTGCTTGAAGTGTAGCTGGCGAGGCACATGCTCTCGCCATCGTCAAGGCGGAGACGTCAAATTGGCGTGCACCTTTCGACGAATATATCTCAGCGGACAAGCGAGTCCGCCCGGGGGAGCTCGCTGCCCGCAGGCAAAACAAATAAAACCCATTCGGGCATGCATCCGGTCAGGGAGGGCATCAGGGAGGCATGGATTTAGGATTGATGCCTCCCTCGGATGGCATGCCATCCGATAGGGTTTTAGTTTTTTTCTGCCCGGGGCAGCATGTCGTCAAGTCGTCAACGGATTGTCAGGCTTGATGACCCATTTCCGCTGGGATATTCCGCGCAAACGGTTGCGACGTGATCTGCGCGACCACGTCGCAACCAGTTTGCGAAAACTTTGGTATCGAGAATCTCGATAGTGAGGTTCGTGTTCGAAATATGTTAAGGGCGAAATTTGTTTATCTGCACACCGGTTTATACTCTACAAGTCCAACCGTCGGTATAACAGATTATTTCAAGCACAATGGCAATCGGAATCTGGAAACGTGGAACAGTTTAGGTACCACTAGAAAACGAATTTTTGTCAGATTTTTCAATTGCGACATAGTGCTTTTAATAGTTTCGTAAAAGCTGCAAATCCAATATAAGACTGTTTTAGATAAATTCGAAAATGGCCACAACCCGTGCTGTGGGATCATAAAGAAAATCATGTGTATTGTTTTTTTTTTTTTTTTCTATTGCGTGCCAATAGTGATCCACATCGCTGAGCCACTCTCGTCTCCGCGGGAGGGGTGTGTCAGAATGTATTTGTTGTCTAGCCTGCAGTGGGGTACTCTGTAGTGAGTACAACCCAATTTAGGGGTTTGCTATTTGTATCCCAACTCTTGCTAGTGAAATAATCCCATTCCATTTTTCTCGACGTTCTCCTTCTCGACTTCCACTCACCCAAACTCTCTCGACACTCCAACCTAGCTATGGCTCCTAAGCCTAAGTCACGCTAGGATTCTAACATGCTATCAGAGTAGGTCGTTCCTAGGACCTCACATCAATGGGCCCACCACCTAATGCCCTGCTAGCCTAGGCCCCAGCCCGTCGCCCCTTGGCGTCGCCCCTAGCCCCTAGGCTCGGCCCCTTGGCCCCGTCGCCCCTAGCTGTGCCCCTCGGCCCCGCTGGCCCCGTCGACTCCGTCGCCCGCGCCCGGCCCGTACCTAGCCCGCGATCGGCCCGTACCTAGCCCGCGCCCGGCCCCGTCTCGCGCCCGCGCTCGGCCCGTACCTAGCCCGCGCCCGGCCCTTTACCTAGCTCGCGCCCCGTCGACACCCGCGCCCGGCCCCGTCCCTCGCCCGCGCCCCGTCGACGCCCGCGATTGGCCCGTACCTAGCCCGCGCCCCGGCCCCGTACCTAGCCCGCGCCCTGTCGACACCCGTGCCCGGCCCCGTACCTAGCCCGCGCCCCGTCGACGCCCGCGACAGGCCCGTACCTAGCCCGCGACCCGGCCCCGTACCTAGCCCGCTCCTTGTCGACACCCGCGCCCAGCCCCGTACTTAGCCCGCGCTCGGCCCCGTACCCAGCCCAACGCCCGGCCCCGTACCTAGCCCGCGCCCGGCCCTTACCTCGCTCGCGACCGGCCCGTACCTAGCCCGCGCTCGGCCCCTTCTCTCGCCCGCGCCTGGCCCGTACCTAGCCCGCGATAGGCCCGTACCTAGCCCGCGCTCGGCCCTGTCTCACGCCCGCGCCCGGCCCGTACCTAGCCCGCGATCGGCCCGTACCTAGCCCGCGACAGGCCCGTACCTAGCCCGCGCCCGGCCCCGTCCCTCGCCAGCGCCCGGCCTCGTACCTCGCCCGCGACCGGCCCCGTTGTCGCCAGCACCTGGCCCCGTACTTAGCCCGCGCCCCGGCCCCGTACCTGCCCAGCGCCCAGCCCTGTACCTGCCCAGCGCCCGGCCCTGTACCTGCCCAGCGCCCGGCCCCGTACCTGCCCAGCGCCCGGCCCCGTACCTGCCCAGCGCCCGACCCCGCCACTGCCCAGCGCCCGGCCCCGTACCTGCCCAGCGCCCGGCCCCGTACCTGCCCAGCGCCTGGCCCCGTACCTGCCCAACGCCCGGCCCCGTACCTGCCCAGCGCCCGGCCCCGTACCTGCCCAGCGCCCGGCCCCGTACCTGCCCAGCGCCCGGCCCCGTACCTGCCCAGCGCCAGGCCCCGTCCCTAGCCCAGCGCCCGGCCCCGTACCTAGCCCGCGCCCGGCCAAGTACCTAGACCCGCATCTGGCCCCGTCCCTAGCCCAGGGCCCGGCCCCGTACCTAGCCGCGCCCCTCGGCCCAACTGGCCTCGTCGCCCCTAACTATGGCCCCTCGCGACCTGCAGCCCCTAACCGCGGCCCCGTCGCCTCTACCCTCGGCCCCTCGCAACCCGTCGGCCCTAGCCGCGGCCCCGGTGCCCTGTGGCATCATGACGGGTAAGGGGGTGGCAAGAGGGGGTTCTTCCTGCCCGCGTGCCCTGCAGTCGCACGCGCAGCTCCGCCCCCGCCCCCCTCCCCCCCCTCCATGGGGACGGGGGGGAGAGGGTGTGAGGGGGTGGCGGAGGTACCTCAGCAGCAGCAGCTGCCGCCGCGCCTCCTCCTCTCTCTCTCCCTGCCGCACCTTGTGTTGGGAGAGGGGGGGAGCTTGGAAGTTCAGGGGGAGGCAGGAGGGGACCTGCAGCACCAGCCCCCCCCGCCCCCCCTTTCTCCTCCATCCTTGGGGGGTGAAGGAATGTGGAGCGGCAGTGGGGGGGAAGGGATCTGCAGTACCAGCCCCCCCCCGCCCCCCCCCCCTCCCTTCTCCTACCTCCCCCTGCTGCGGGTGCAGCAGTGGGGGGGAGGGGACCTGTAGCACCAGCCCCCCCCGCCCCCCCCTATCTCCTCCATCCTTGGGGGGTGAAGGAATGTGGAGCGGCAGTAGGGGGGAGGGGATCTGCAGTACCAGTCCCCCCCCCGCCCCCCCCCTCCCTTCTCCTACCTCCCCCTGCTGCGGGTGCAGTAGTGGGGGGGAGGGGATCTGCAGCACCAGCCCCCCCCCCCCCCCCCCCGCCCCCCCCCCTCTTCTCCTCCATCCCCTGCTGCAGGTGTAGCAGTGGGGGAGGGTATGGGGGTGGCGGGTGTGTGAACCGTCCCCTGCTCCTCCTCCTCC